GTGTTAAAAAATGATGATTCATATAAGTAAAAGATGTGGGCCAAAAAGGCACATTAGTGGGACCAGGTGCAGCCCACGGACTGCCAGGTGACCTTTGGTTTGGTGACACTGAAGTGCATGTAGAGGCTAGTAGAGCCTTGAGCTCCGTAAAGGATTCCTGAAGTGGTGGCTCAGGAAGTAAGCGTGAATTGCCAGGAGTATGAGAGGAGGCAGGCAGGATCATGCCCAGCGGGTGGCCTGGGAGGGCCTTGGAGGGGACTGGGGCCCAAACTGCACACAGGAAGGAGGCGGCTCCCCTGCATTTCAGCTACTGCGTGTCCACAAAGACCTAAAGCTGACCCCTGCCTGGCTGACCTGTGCAAGGTGACAATCCCTGCCTTCCGGCTCCCCTTCCTGGCCTTCCTTTCCCACATTACCTTCACCTCCTGAGCTGCTCCGTGCGTGCTTGCTAACTACGCAGAGTCTAGGCCTTCCCCGCTAGACTGCATGCCCCATCAGGCCAGGGCTTCTGCCTGCTTCATTCCTGGATGTATCCCCCAAACCAGAGTACTGCCTGCACATGCTGTATCCTAAAAGCATGTCAAATACATGGATGTGTATCCACTGCACGACTTTGGTCTCTAGGTCCTGCTCACTGCCCAGCAGCCCTTTGGAACCCTGTCAGCTCTCCATTCCTTTGTTACCTCTCTAGGCTGGTGTCCTCAAGAAACAAGACTACTGGAAAGTGCCCCTCACCCTCTGGCCTCAGACACCTCAGCCCCCTTTAGGAGCTGGAGGAAGTGCCCTCCCTACTGGACGTAGGGATCTCCTGCCTTTTGTATCCACTCTTCCTCTCGGCTTGCTCCTTTCTATCAGCTTTTAAACATGCTCAAAACTCTACCATCTTAAACAGAACCCCTACTCTTGACCTTGCCCCTGTACTCATCGCCACTCTCACACGGCTGCATCCTCATCCTCAGGCTGGCCTCTGGCTGAGACCCAGTCTTCTATACCTGACCTCTGTGATCGCCTCCATGGGACACATGCCTCCTGCTGGGCTCCTGGACGTGTCACGGAGCACCAAGTCACCTGCCCACCGGCCAGGCTCTGAGCCCTGTTTGCTCCTATATCCAAACAGCTTCCATGTCTTCCAAGACATCAGCCACGCTCAGATCCCCTTCTCCTGCTTTGCCTCCCACAAATCCATTCTTAATTTTGTCACAGGGATGATCCCACAAATACGCCTGACCCCTCTACATCTGCTGAGAACCTCTTTGGCTCCCCAGGCCTCCGGACACAATCTGACCCCTTCAGTGGTCTGAAAGACCTTGGCCCACCTTGCTCAGCACGGCCTCTCTGCAAGGCCTTCCTGTCACCCACCATCACTTACCCCACGTGCCAACCACTCTCAAGTCCTTTCTGTTCCTCCGCCATGTCACCTCCTCTAGGCTGTTTCACACGCCAGCCCATCTATCTGAAACACTCACCGGTGCTATCACCCTGTGTCTGGTCCCCCTGGCCCCTCATGGCCAAAACCTTGGTTAGGGGCCATCCAATGTGCTGTACTTCCCTGGTTGTGGCTGTTGGGCACCGTATAGTAATTGTCTGGGTACCTGCCTTCCTGTCCAAATGGAGGTTCAAAGAGGGCAGAACTCCTGTGTTTCACACTGTGATATCCTGAGCATCTGTGTGCTGTTTGGAGCACACGATAGTGCTCAAAAATGTAGTATGAATGAGTATACGGCAAGTAAAAGGACAAAGCTACTGGTCTGGGGAGCATTAATGTAGAAGGCGGGTATGAGAACATGAGAAACCGTACAAACTTTAGGGCTGTATTGGGTGGTCATAAATCACAGGATGGAGGCAGCTTGGAGGTTGGGAGCTGGGTCAGAGGCAGAGGAATGGAGGAGCCAGCCCCAGCTGGGTTTCCGAGGGCGCTTTGGTGCAAGGCGGTGAGGGTGCACCTCAGATTCTCTACTCACGTCTCTTTCAAAGATGTCTGATGTCTGAACAATTCTGTTCACCCAAACCTCTGCAGTCGACAGGCCCTCGACAGTCACTCCATGTCTTCTATGGGCCTCCCTGTGCCACAGAGGCTCAACGCTAAAACACGACACTTTCCAAACTCCCTCGTAGGGTTCTGGCTGGAAATTCACTTCCGAATATAAGATGACTGAGTAAGTGACCATAAGGAAAGGACCATCTGTAGTCTTGTCTTTATGGTATTTTTACAAAATTTAGGAATGGCTAAAAACCAGAAGGAATAACTAATATGCTGAGTACAGAATCAGGGTTCAAAAGGCTCCCAACAGGCGGGGGACTGGAATCCAAGGTCTACTCGGGACAAAGTTCTATACTTGGGACCAAGCAACCAACCGCAAGAGAACAGTCCTGTGTGACAAGGGGCTTCAGAGCAGAGTGTGCAGAAACAAAGATTTCAGATTTTAAGCTCAATTTAAGAAAAGTTAGTGTGACATGGCTCAAAGTGGCTAAATGAACTTGGAATACATTACGAGGAGTGTCATTTTAGGAGCAAGGGAGGTTCTAGTCTCTAAACCATACTTATCGTAATGGTAGCAGTTCTGGGAACAAGGACCCTTACAAGCTACAGGTTTTTCAGATGAAAACAAAAAGGATTTGTAACAATGATTATAAGGAACAGCTGTAAAGAGCTAGGACTATTTCCTGGAGAATGGGCAGATGAGACATAACTACAGGCAAATGTTTGAAATTCTGCAGTACGGAACTTAAATAGCAGAGAACAAAGCTAAATGAGCAGTTACAGAAATGGAGGGTGGCTGGCTGCGGCTTGGTCCACGAAGAACTTAAGGGCCAGTTCCTGAACGCATCTCCGCGAGCAAGGGAAACAAAAGTAAAAATGAACACATGGGACTACATCAAACTAAAAAGTTTCTGTATGGCAAAGGACACCATCAACAGAACAAAAAGGCATCCTACAGTATGGGAGAATATATTTGTAAGTGACAGATCCGACAAGGGGTTAACATCCAAAATATATAAAGAACTCACGCACCTCAACACCCAAAAAGCAAATAACCCGATTAACAAATGGGCAGAGGATATGAAGAGACAGTTCTACAAAGAAATTCAGATGGCCAACAGACACATGAAAAGATGCTCCACATCACTAATCAGGGAATGCAAATTAAAACCACAATAAGATATCACCTCACACCAGTAAGGATGGCCAGCATCGAAAAGGCTAAGAACAACAAATGCTGGCGAGGATGCGGAGAAAGGGGAACCCTCCTACACTGCTGGTGGGAATGTAAGCTAGTTCAACCATTGTGGAAAGCAGTATGGAGGTTCCTCAAAAAACTAAAAACAGAAATACCATTTGACCCAGGAATTCCACTCCTTGGAATTTACCCAAAGAATGCAGCAGCCCAGTTTGAAAAAGACAGATGCACCCCTATGTTTATTGCAGCACTTTCTACAATAGCCAAGAAATGGAAGCAACCTAAGTGTCCATCAGTAGGTGAATGGATAAAGAAGATGTGGTACATATACACACTGGAATACTATTCAGCCATAAGAGAGAAACAAATCCTACCATTTGCAACAACATGGATGGAGTTGGAGGACATTATGCTCAGTGAAATAAGCCAGGCAGAGAAAGACAAGTGCCAAATGATTTCCCTCATTTGTGGAGCATAACAACGAAGCAAAACTGAAGGAACAAAATAGCAGCAGACTCAGAGACTCCAAGAAGGAACTAGTGGTTACCAAAGGGGAAGGGGTGTGGGAAGGGAGGGAGAAGGGGACTGAGGGGTATTATGTTTAGTACACATGGCGTGGGGAATCATGGGGAAAACAGTGCAGCACAGAGAAGGGACATAGTGGATCTGTGGCATCTTACTGCACTGATGGACAGTGACTGGATTGGGGTATGGGTGGGGACTTGATAATATGCATAAATATAGTAACCACATTGTTTTTTCATGTGAAACCTTCATAAGAGTGTATATCAACAATACACTTTATTTTTTAATAAGAAATTAAAAAAAAAAAAAAGAACTTAAGGGCCAGAGTGGCCAGGAGAGCAGCACACGGGGTGGGGGGTGGGCCCTGCACCATGCACAGGCCTTTATGCAGAGGCATCCAGCCGCTTGGTGTGCAGAGGAGGGGAGGCCCTGGGTTGGACTCTGTCCTCTTTCCACTGCTCCCACGCTGGGGAGCGCTGTGATTTGGTGAGCTGAGCTGCCCTGCACTGTATAGGCGGACTGCCTGCAGCCCAGTGAGACTCGTACCACAAGTAGAAAGAAACCCAGGGCTCTGGCTAGTTCTCCCACTACAAACCCCAGACGAGTTCTATCTGTGTCCCTCATGTCCATCCTACATGTTCCTTGTCACTGTCACAATTCATACTCCCTGTAGGCAGGCTCTGGTCTAGACTACCTTATCACCTTCTTTTCCACCATAGCATCTGGTAGAGTGCCTTGCACAAAAAAGGAACTCAAAACACAAGTTTTAATCTAATTTTAGGGTTTTTCTTTCAACTGTAATTGAAACATGACTTGTACTGTGTAATGCCACTCATATATTACTAAAACACCTTTACTTCAGTGGTAACCACACATCAGAAAACACCTGAGGGGCTTTACAGACCACCAGAGAATGGGCTTCCCTCCAGACCAGCGACACCTGAGATCTGAGATCGGCATCTCCAGGCCCCTGTCTTGTACGTACTGTACCAAAAGCAGGGGCTGAGAACCACTGCTTTATAACATAAAGAAATGAAGACTTTGTCAGTAAATGCAAACTAAAAATGGTCCCCAATCTTTCCTGAAGAGGATGTGGTTTCTCATTCCTCTCCTTCCTATTCAAAGTACTCAGTATACCTTTCTTGGGTAGGAAATTATCTGAGAACCCTACTTATTCACCCTCTTTGGGTAACAGTTCCATACAATGCCATAAAGTGGAGGGGTCGGAGTGCATGTGCCTACATAAGGGGAGAATGCTATTGTTCTGACTCAAGTACTGCGCAGTCCCTCCCGTACCTGGACCAAGCAGTGGTGATCGGTTCGGTGCGGCGCTGGCCTGGTGCGTGGGCGGCGTCTCGGCCACGCTTGTGCTGCTGCTCGTGGAGGTGGAGGTGGCGGCCGTGGAGCTGCTCTGGACGCCCGGGTTGTTTCTATCCCACATGTTTACAGTTCTGTTGGTGTAGTTACTTGGGTCACCCCAAGCTGAGGTACCGTCATCGATTTCCATTTTGCGGCGAATGGATGGTGGAGAAGGTTCTTCCCAGCCCGTGGCCTCACTGTTGTCCTTCTGTTTAACAGGGACAGGCCCCCCTATCCACCCTGCCCCTGTCTGTTTACTGGAAGTGGCTCCTCCCCAGTTACTCACATTGTTGTCTTGGGGTTTGCTCGCCCAGTTCTGTGGGGGGCCAGGTTTTAAAGACTCTCCCCAGTTTGTCCCTGGATTCACCTTTGCATTTGTGCCATTGCCCCAGCCACTGGTCCCCGACCTTGTGGTGTCACTCCAGCCAGACCCTGATCGACTGCTGTCAGCATCCCATCCAGAGCCATTCTTTTTCCCATCCCCCAAGTGTCCAAGGACAGAAGATGAATCGGCCCAATCTCCTCCTCCTGCACTCCAGGCTGGATGAGATTTTTGCCCATCTCCCCAGTTTTGAGATTTGGGTTTTTGAGGCTCACCCCAGGTGGGTGACTTGTCCTCCTGACTTGCGGTCCCGCTCCAAGCATGGCCGCTCTTGGCCGCAGCAGCATTACTAGCAGCAGGAGAGCTTACGGAGTCCCCCCACACCCCTGGGCCATTCGGTGCTTTGTGGCTGCCATCTCCCCAGCCTGCACTGGGGGGCGCAGCGGCCGGCGGCGAGCTGACCCACCCAGACGCCGGCAAGGCGTCAGCGCTGTCCCCACCACTCTTCCCCCCGGAGTCTGCGGGCTGGGCGCTTCCCCAGGCCTCTGTCCCATTGTCGCTTTTTCTCTCAGGCCTGGGGGATTCCTCAAATTCCCAGGCAGTGTTCTGCTTTACTGGAGTCTGTCCCCAACCAGTATTGGACAGAACTCTTGGGTCGAGGTCATTCCTTGGCAGCTGGACGTGCCCTGGGTCTCCCGCCGCCTTGTCTCGCCTGCGGCTGTCCGCTCCGTCCCTCCCCGTGCTGCCTTCGCTGTGGCTGCCAGAGCTGTCGCTGCCTCCCTCGCTCGCCGGAGCTCCGGAAGATGCGGCTTTGGCCCAAGAGTTCACGAGCTCGCTGCCCGACTGCCCGGCAGGATTCTGGCCGCTCACACGAGGACTGTCCCACCCTGCTGATCCTTTCGTGCTGATGTCACTCCCGGAATGCTGGTTTGAGGGCTTTCCCCACTCCCCGTTCATACCATTGGAGGTGCCTCGGCTGGGGTGGCCCCAGGCTCCCGAGGGGATGTTACCTACGCCAGTGGTGGCACTGCTCCTTCCCCAACTGAGGATTCCAGGTCCGGAAGGAGGTCCCGAATCCCAGGCGTTTCCTCCATTTCCTTCCTTTAGCACAGCACTGCTGGATCCATTCTGTTTAGCACTTAATGCTGAGTTCACAGTGTCTCCACTCCCCTGACTGAACCCAGAATTGCTATTTCCTGTGGCAGAGTTACCTGGGGACAGTCCCCACACAGGGCTGTTGATTCCTTCACCACCAGCCCCACTGACTTGAGCAGCTGATGGCCCACTAGCACCAGGAAGGCCTTGCAGGTGGGGCGGGATGGTGGTCCCCAGACCCCCAGCCACGCCCCAGTTTGGCAGTCCATCTGTCTGCATTGCACTGATAGGGTTTGGGGGAGTGCTCACGGGCTTAGTGTTATTTGGTCCGTCCGCGCTAAGGTTCTGAGGTTGTACACTGAAAGACGCATGCTGAGAAGTGGACGTTGGTGGTTCTGTGCTCTCTTGTGGCAGCAGGTTTCCCCAAGCACCTAGAGTGCCTGCTGGGTTCCCATTCTGGTTGCCCACGTTTTGACCTATGGCACTGACTGGACTGCAAATACTGGAAGGGTTTCCTGTATAGCAGCAGGAGAGCTTACGGAGTCCCCCCACACCCCTGGGCCATTCGGTGCTTTGTGGCTGCCATCTCCCCAGCCTGCACTGGGGGGCGCAGCGGCCGGCGGCGAGCTGACCCACCCAGACGCCGGCAAGGCGTCAGCGCTGTCCCCACCACTCTTCCCCCCGGAGTCTGCGGGCTGGGCGCTTCCCCAGGCCTCTGTCCCATTGTCGCTTTTTCTCTCAGGCCTGGGGGATTCCTCAAATTCCCAGGCAGTGTTCTGCTTTACTGGAGTCTGTCCCCAACCAGTATTGGACAGAACTCTTGGGTCGAGGTCATTCCTTGGCAGCTGGACGTGCCCTGGGTCTCCCGCCGCCTTGTCTCGCCTGCGGCTGTCCGCTCCGTCCCTCCCCGTGCTGCCTTCGCTGTGGCTGCCAGAGCTGTCGCTGCCTCCCTCGCTCGCCGGAGCTCCGGAAGATGCGGCTTTGGCCCAAGAGTTCACGAGCTCGCTGCCCGACTGCCCGGCAGGATTCTGGCCGCTCACACGAGGACTGTCCCACCCTGCTGATCCTTTCGTGCTGATGTCACTCCCGGAATGCTGGTTTGAGGGCTTTCCCCACTCCCCGTTCATACCATTGGAGGTGCCTCGGCTGGGGTGGCCCCAGGCTCCCGAGGGGATGTTACCTACGCCAGTGGTGGCACTGCTCCTTCCCCAACTGAGGATTCCAGGTCCGGAAGGAGGTCCCGAATCCCAGGCGTTTCCTCCATTTCCTTCCTTTAGCACAGCACTGCTGGATCCATTCTGTTTAGCACTTAATGCTGAGTTCACAGTGTCTCCACTCCCCTGACTGAACCCAGAATTGCTATTTCCTGTGGCAGAGTTACCTGGGGACAGTCCCCACACAGGGCTGTTGATTCCTTCACCACCAGCCCCACTGACTTGAGCAGCTGATGGCCCACTAGCACCAGGAAGGCCTTGCAGGTGGGGCGGGATGGTGGTCCCCAGACCCCCAGCCACGCCCCAGTTTGGCAGTCCATCTGTCTGCATTGCACTGATAGGGTTTGGGGGAGTGCTCACGGGCTTAGTGTTATTTGGTCCGTCCGCGCTAAGGTTCTGAGGTTGTACACTGAAAGACGCATGCTGAGAAGTGGACGTTGGTGGTTCTGTGCTCTCTTGTGGCAGCAGGTTTCCCCAAGCACCTAGAGTGCCTGCTGGGTTCCCATTCTGGTTGCCCACGTTTTGACCTATGGCACTGACTGGACTGCAAATACTGGAAGGGTTTCCTGTCGCCACAGTTCCTTCATGTCCCAGTACAGGCCAGGCAGCTGGGTTGGCATTAGGATTAAGGTTGAGATTAATGCCAGCATTGGAGTTGGAAACCCCCCAGCAGTTCTGACTTCTCCCATCTCCAATCATACTGTCCATTTTTCCATCCCCACCGCCGAGAGCGCAGTGAGCGAGGCCGGAGCTGGAGCCTGTGGCTACACCCCACACTCTGGCTGCACCTGCGTTCCCGCTGGCTGCCCCTGCTCCAAGGGCACTCTGATTAGAAGGGCTTTGGACGAGTGCGCCGTTGGTGCCGTTATTGCCATTTGTCTTCTTGGTGTGTCCCGTGAAGTTGCCCTGGGCACTCCCTGTAGCCATGCTACTGGTGTCCGAGCCACAGTTGGACGCAGAGTCAGTGTCTGTGGTACATTCTGAGGCAGGCTCAGTCTCTGTCCCTGGGACGGCGGGCCACGCCCCCTGGTCGGGCCTCTCGATTATCGCTCTATCCCAGCTGCAGCTGGCTTCACTTCTGCAACTGGGCTGCTGTCCCCAGTGGGGACTTTCATAATGATCCGCCAATCCACTGTGACTGAGATCTGAAAAAGATTAAACAAATTCAAAATTAGATTTTCCTCCCATTTGTCAATGAATCAACTGTGAACTAGTCTTTGGGGGAAGCTCTTTATTTCAAGGTTTCAATTCTAAATGCTAAAAAAATTACTTAAAGGAAAAAGTTATTTGTCTTCTTAATAGCTCCTATTTGAAACTGAGTGAATGTTTCTAAAACCATATTAATTCTTACCATTACACTATACTCTTTTGGGAAGATTCACAATGCACACTAGCAGCTAAGCATCTTTGGAAGCATGTGTAGTAAACAAAGATGCTAAACCGGAATGCTCCAGTTTGGAAATTTATCTGACTATGCAACACCTATAAATACTCAGACTTATTGGAAAATGCTGGTGACAACATGAAGTTCACGTGGACCTCTGAAAACAATTTGTAGTTCTCCTCAGGTCCTTCAACTAGAGGTACAGTATTATATAAAAGCTACCACAGCTCATTTAGAAGAGTACTGTAAAGGCACTGCACAGTCACACAATAGGGCCATTATTTGGGGGCTGGAGGATAGAAGGCGGCAGAGAGAGGGAAGAGGTATTAAGAAAATGTTACCGTATGTCATCGAGGTTACTGAGGGTTAGAATGTTTCATTACGTTTATGCTACTTCATCTGTCATTACTAGCAGTTAGGGCTTATCACTGTTTCCTGTGCATTAATAACAAATGTTCTCAGCTTTACACCTGGTATTTTCCTGGATCTCTAAGGATTTCTTCTAGGCTTGCTTTCTACTTCAATCATAGTCTTTTCTTTGGAGATCCCCAGAATAAATTTACATGCTATCTTCCTATAGTATTTATATTATGTCACTCTTTTGATCCATTTAAAGAATCTAGTATTTGGTATCTGCATCTTATCTCCTGTTTTATTTCTTTCTCCTATCTTTCCTAATTGAGTATTTCTAACACTGCAATCAAACTTTTATTCCAATCAATTTTCCAGACTTCATTTGAAGTATGTATCCCTCAAAAATAAAGTAAAAGTCATATAAAACATTAATTTAACCTACACATACAGCAAACTTATACAATTTAGAGACACTTGACAGAGTTTCTTTAAATAGTATGATATACAGATAATTGCAATAAAATATTTCCTCTTTTATAGCCCTGTCGTCATTAAGTTCTTGTCAAAATTGATTTTAATAAAAAAAAACCATACTTGTGAACAGTAAAACTGGTTTCCCAAAGAAAATATCTTTTAAAATGTGATGGACCTAAATGAAAAAAAAGAGGAAGTACGTAATGAATTACCACTATCACTAGAAAGAACATACTAAAGGTAACATTTACCTTAAAAAAACCCCAATTTTTGTTGCCTGATTTAAAAGGAATGTAATTTAGAATTATACTCTAGGTGTTTCCAATGTAGGTAAGTAATTCCAGGTGAAGACTACAGAGGAAAAATGAAGATAGGCAACAAAAACTTTAAGCATCTAAGTTGTTATAAAATAAGCCTTTTATAGCCAAATATTAAGGGTTGGCTGTGCAACCCTGGTTTTATGACAATTTCCCCTGTTGGCTTTGTATACACTATAAAAACCAGCTTAAATAATAACTAATTTAAAGAGATAAATTATTAGCCAGTCATCTTTTAACAAAGAAAATAAGACTGAGTAAAAAAACAGAGACACTGAGGGGGGTCTTGCTTCCCCCAGAGACAGGGCTTACCGCGAGGCAGGCCTTGCCTCTTAGATTAGGACAGCACGCACTGTAACCCACCCCTGGAAGCAGGTCAACAACCTGGCTGGCTTACCAACCCATTCCTTTCTAGGCCCAGAGTACCTCCAGAATACGTAACATTACCGTTGCCATTTTGTAACAGGTCACACTGTAGAAGGATCAGCTCTTTGTTAACAGTCTACTTTGAGGGTTTGTGTGAAATGCTTTTTGACTATTGCTCGGCCCCCAGTTTGAAGGACTCACACTCAGTTATGTCAGGTTTGAAAAACGTGTTTCTGTCCTTGATGGATAACGAGGACAGCATCAAAAACTAGTGGAGCGCCAGACATTAACCCAAACACATATGGTCAATTAATAGATGATAAAGGAGTCAGGGACATACAATGGGGAAATGACAGTCTCTTCAACAGATGGTGCTGGCAAAACTGGACAGCTACATGTAAGAGAATGAAACTGGATCACTGTCTAACCCCACACACAAAAGTAAATTTGAAATGGATCAAAGACCTGAATGTAAGTCATGAAATCATAAAACTTTCAGAAAAAAACATAGGCAAAAATCTCTTGGACATAAATGTGAGCAACTTCTTCATGAACAAATCTCCCTGGGCAAGGGAAACAAAAGCAAAAATGAACAAGTGGGACTATATCAAGCTGAAAAGCTTCTGTACAGCAAAGGACACCATCAATAGAACAAAAAAGGTATCCTACAGTATGGGAGAATATATTCATAAATGACAGATCCGATAAAGGGTTGACATCCAAAATATATAAAGAGTTCACGCACCTCAACAAACAAAAAGCAAATAATCCAATTAAAAAATGGGCAGAGGATCTGAACAGACAGTTCTCCAGAGAAGAAATTCAGATGGCCAACAGACAGGTGAAAAGATGCTCCACATCGCTAATCATCAGAGAAATGCAAATTAAGACCACAATGAGATACCACCTCACACCAGTAAGGATCGCCACCATTGAAAAGACAAACAACAACAAACATTGGCAAGGTTGTGGAGAAAGGGGAACCCTCCTACACTGCTGGTGGGAATGCAAATTAGCTCAACCATTGTGGAAAACAGTATGGAGGTTCCTCAAAAAGCTCAAAATAGAAATACCATTTGACCCAGGAATTCCACTTCTAGGAATTTGCCTTAAGAATGCAGCACTCCCGTTTGAAAAAGACAGGTGCACCCCTATGTTTATAGCTGCACTATTTACAATAGCCAAGAAATGGAAGCAACCTAAATGTCCATCAGTAGATGAATGGATAAAGAAGATGTGGTACATATACACAATGGAATATTATTCAGCCATAAGAAGAAAACAAATCCTACCATTTGCAACAACATGGATGGAGCTAGAGGGTATTATGCTCAGTGACATAAGCCAGGCGGAGAAAGACAAGTACCAAATGATTTCACTCATCTGAGGAGTATAAGAACAAAGGAAAACTGAAGGAACAAAACAGCAGCAGAATCACAGAACCCAAGAATGGACTAACAGTTACCAAAGGGAAAGGGACTGGGGAGGATGGGTGGGAAGAGAGGGATAAGAGCGGGGAAAAAGAAAGAGGGCATTACAATTAGCATGTATTGTGCATGGGGGGCACGGGGAGGGCTGCGCAACACAGAGAAGACAAGTAGTGATTCTACAGCATCTTCCTACGCAGATGGACAGTGACTGTGAAGGGGTATGTGGGGGGGACTTGGTGAAGGGGGAGCCTAGTAAACATAATGTTCTTCAGGTAATTGTAGATTAATGATAACAACAACAACAAAAAAACTAGTGGAGCAAGGAAAGGCCGGCTAACAAGTCCTGCAGGACAACCAGCTAGCCGTATGGAAAAATGGAAGGAGACGCCCACACCTCGTGTCGTTCACAAAACCAGCTTCCAGACGGATCAAAGACCTAATGATGAACAGCAACACTGTGAGCTTAGTAAGGAAATACAGAAGAATATTTCTGTGACCTGGGACACTTATTTTCTCACATAAAACATTTAAAAAGTTGATAAACTTGACTATAGTAATACTAGAAACATCTGTTATGACAAAAGGAAGCTAAAAAATAAGCCACAGATAGGAAGAAGACAGAACAGGTAGCAGATGATCAGAATAAAGAACTCCTACAAATTGATCAAAGACCAACAACAGAACAAAAATGGGAAGAACACAGGAAGATGCAATTTAGAGAAGAAGAAACCCGAGTGGCCGCAAACATATGGAGCAATCATCAACCTCATTAGTAACCAAGAAGTGCACTTTTAAACACTGAGACATCATTCCACACCTCAGACAGTTAGTTTCACACTAAAACATGGCGGTGGTGGTTTTCCTTTTGAGGGAGACAAGAATGGGGTTGAGGGTGATAACAGTAACATTTCTGAATTAGAGATCTGAAGCAAATAAGGCAAAATATGTTATATCTGTGTTGTGGATATAGTCATATTCTTTTCTGTAAACTTTCTTCTATTTTGAAAGTTTTTCAAAAAAAAATAAATGCTTAAATGTGTTATCAAATGAAGTGACATATATGAAACCCCAAAAAGTACCTGTGTGTTCTTAGACAGTAGAAATGTAATGAGTAAATCTTTATTGTTAGAAAAATGTGGTGACTTTGAGAACAAAGAGATTCAGTGTGATTAAAAAATAATCTGATCATTGAATTAAGTCTAATTTCTGAAAGTGGAGGCATAGATAGTATCTTTTAGCTTTATATCCATCATGCTTGCCACATATGAAAAATGTTTCCTGTACAAATAAAAGAATACATAAAACTAAACCTGAATTCCAGCTAAAGCCACCGATTAGCTGAACAATCCGAAGTTACTTCTCAACTCTAGAAAGACAAAGTTGAACTAAATAATCCTTAAGTTTCTCAGCTCTAAAATTTATGCTTTTTAGAGCTTATATATACTATATTAACGTGAAAAATCACATAAAATGCCAAGCAACATACTGACATGGTCAATCTCAACTACAAGATTAAAGCAAAGTTATTTTTTTTAATTGTGGTAAAATATACAAATGAAAATTTTTATTTTAACCTTTTTTGAGTATATGATTCAGTGGTTTTAAGTAGATTCATATTGTGCAAACATCACCATTATCCATCATGCCAAACTGAAACTCTACACCTGTTGAATGTAACTCTTCATTTCCCTCTGTCCCCAGACTCTGGTAATCACGAGGCTACTTTCTTTTCTATGACTTTCCCTATTCCATGTACCTCCTAAATGTGGAATCATACAATATTTGTCCTTTTGTGACTGGCTTGTATCACTTAGCATAAT